GGGGTCGAATGTGACAACCAGGGGGGTCGTGGTAGTTTGAAGTCAGAAGTCAAGTGCCGGTTAATAGACTTTTTTGCCGTATGAGTATACGTTGCCCAGGGTGCACCACATGGAGGTAAGTCTATCGCACACCCCGGTGTATCAAATGTTTTTCTATTAGGTTAAGAGTAGTTTAAATTTTCTTTATTTATTACACACCTAGTAAGTCTACACAGGAGAAAGGCAAAAATCGAAGCTATTAAATTTTATCTTCTTTGAGAAATATTATAAAGTATGGTTTAAAATAGTGCCCTGTACAAATTTCAACGCCAATGAAATTTAAAATGAACTCTTTATAGATGGACCTTCTGGGAAGTAAGAGATGTCGAAATTTGTGAGTGAAACCCGAGTAAAATCCCCTTCACTACCACTTAAATAGTTAGAACGATGATTTTGGCGGTTAAATGCTAGTGTTAGTGGGAAGAAAAAGATTTACAAACTTAAATGGAACTTGTTAGAGGGAAGGCGAAAAGAGCAATACATTGGGAGTTGTGGATAGACAGGAGGTAGCTGAGAGACCTGGGAATAGGAATTAGCCAGCAGGAGTTGAAGAGGAGACAAATAGACAGGGTGGAGACATAGGAACTTTGGAAGCCACTCCTGGCCATTCACAAACTGAGTTGATAGAAGAGGGCTAATAAAAGGCCAATTTGAAAACAGTGCCGAAAATGTATGGTTTGGGGGGGGGGAGGAGAAGAGGAATGACAACTAGGGCTTTAAAATGAACCTTCACTTTAGTCTTTACATGAATTTTGATATGTGAGCTGGTGACGCATACCAAAAGATTGATGATGGTTTCGCCAATTATCTTACCGTCTAAGGTACATAGACCCTCACTTTGGGACAATTCAATCAAAAAAAAAACTCTCGAAATTGTAATGGAGACAATCTTTAATGATGGCATTAACTGTCCAGTTTTATCAATTCGTCACTTGGTTCTGAAGATCGCCAGCATTAATTCCGGCGGAGGGATCAAATCTTAAAGTTCAAACTTTGGATCTTAGACTATGCTGCATTCTATAACAAGACGTAGATATATATTTAAAATAATTCAGGCTAAAAATTTCAAAATATCCACAGAATAGGCACTGTGAAAACTAATTTTGAGAACACGACCCTGCTATTATTAACAAGACCAAAAAATGGAACATACAGGAGCGTTCGTAAGTTCAAAAGATTGAATAACCAAAAATTTATTTCCAAGATAAAAAATTAAATGCCAATATCATCAAGGGAAAAGGTCTGATCAAATTTTTTTTGCTTTCTCTTTGATGCCTAATCTTTTCCTCGCATTACTTCAACTTGAAAATCACTTGAGGTCGTGTGGAATTTTGAGGTGTTCTTCTTCTTCTGTCGTAATTCCAAATCAGTAGCTATTTCTATTACCAGTTGACTTGAAAATGAGAGATTTAAGGGCTAATCCTAAAATTTTTCAATCTCTTGAGCTTTTCACAAATTAGACAACTGTTTGGAGCCTAAATGATGTGAGTGACAATTGATAAATGTATATGTGCTGTGAATATTCATTTATTAATATAAAATGGCAGGCTTTATGATGGTTATCATTAGCCCTTTAGTTGACTTCGGGCTTCACAGAGAGGAGGAATATTTATTTATTTCAAATGGCAGGCGTTTTGATAGTTATCATTAGCCCTTTAGCTGACTTCAGGCTTTACAGATGGGAAGGAACATCAAAGTAACAGAAAGTCGAGGGGTGGAGAACATAAGAGTGATTTAGAGATGTAAAGAGACAGACATGAAATTAGAGAAAAGGTAGGATGAGTACTGCGCCAGAAGTCATTCGCCAGTTAATAGACTTTTTTGCCGTGTGAATATACGTTGCCCAGGGTGCACCACGTGGAGGTAAGTCTATCACGCACCCCGAGAGGAGGAATATCAAAGTCGTAAAAAGTCGAGGCGGGGGGGGGGGGGGGGGGGGGAGGAGGAACAGAAGTGTGATTCAAAAATGTTAAAGAGACAAACACAAAGGTAGAGTAGAAGATGATATGAGTACTGGGAGTGGTGGAACATGACATACAGCGAGGTCATGATAATTTGAAGTCATGGCATTCTCTTGAAGTGAGAGATTAGTTACAGTAACTTAGTATAAGAGATTACTCCCCAATGAGAACAAAATGGTACGTGACAAACACATCATTGAGAAAGTGAGGGAAAGGGCGAAAGGAAGGGGGAAACTGGAGTGGCATGTTGCTGACAATTTTTAAAATTTTAAAATTCAAAGGATTTTAAAAGTGGAGAAACTCAGAATTAAGGACAAAACCAGGTGCTTGACTATTATCTTAAAAACTGGGATAAGGAGATTTTACTGAATGGAAATATTGATCTTCTTAGACTAGGGTACCGTGTTAATTACTGAAATGCAAATCATTTGAATTCTGCTATATGGACCCCTTGACTCGACCTTTTAACGTATCGATTTCTTCCACAAATACGTTAATATAAAATTTCACCTGGCTCCTAATGCGTTAAACTTATTATACGCAGAAAAGACGGAACTTATTATCTGCATTGCAAATGAAGCAAATTAAAAAATCTGGAAGATTTGAGGAGAATTATGTTAAAATTGAGTATGTTTTAAACATTTAAGCTAAATCAAAGGAAACTACAAGACAAACAATACTCGTGAACTTGGTTAATATCAAGTTATAAAAAGCTCTATATGCGGAAAAATTCTAGTATAATTATTCCAAATATTTGGTCTGCGTTGGAGATTGTACAGCCACAACGAGGTCATGGCTGTACAATGAAATCTCATCCTCACCTAGATAGACTCGGCCGTATAATTTGTCGCGTAGAGGGCAAGTGCAGTCGTGAGTGCGGTGACCTCTCACGCATAGTTCCTCCATTGTTTAACAAACCCTTCATTATATTTTAGGGAGAAAGCTTTCTGCTTGTTACCACACAGCCCAAATAAACGTAATCCACTCCGCATGTCTATTTCCTAGACGTCGTTGAGGTAGGGTATCCAATCCCGGGAGGCATTCCCAACTAGGAGACTTTGCTATGGAGATTACTCAGCGTAAATTAAGGCATATTAGTGTAGCAATAGGCTACAGGATTGAACAAGTAATGTCTAGATCTTGATTTTAATACTTTCAATTCTGACTTGTCCATTATTTCATGCAGCACTCAAGATAAACTTACACTCATTACTGCCACTAAGAAAACAATTAGATAGATACACTTGAGACTGTCAGTTCAGAGTTCCCTTATTTTGACTTAGAGGGATGAAATGCCATTCCATGACTTACCTCTGGTATTCCTAGCTGTGATTGACGGACTGTCTACACTATTGTAGAAATATGAGTAGTAGATTGATTAAGTAGCACGCAGAGCATGGTGAGTTAATATAGCCAGCTATGGCAAGCATTCACACGGGTCACCTTTTTTATTTCGCAAAGCATTGTTTTCATCAAGCTGTTATTGGACGGATCTCAGTTATACGTAACTTAGGTAATATAAGTTCCATTCGCTTGTCACTAAATTATTTTTATAGAAGGTGTAGCACTCAACGAACATACAATTTGATTTACATGTTTAGACAGTCATGGTGTTAAATATAATTTATATTTCAGATGGTTAGAAAGTATTTCAATAAAAGCTACCGGTTATACATAGCTCGATATAAAACACTTATCCATTAGAAAGACAAGTATAATAAGATATTGGTTTATTTTTCATTTTTTTACCACTTATTAAGTAAAAATTGGTTAAATTAACTGATTATTATGTATTTAGAGGAGAGACCCTAAAGTCAAGACAGTTTTATTTCGAACCCATTGTAGATAGATTCATAGTAAATCAACAACCCATTTATATTGCATTAATACGGTTTTAGGGCCATCTGAACAAATTTATCGGCTGGTGCGAAATTACTAAAATGGCTTTGAAAAGAAAGGTAGTTGAATATATAAGTATGAGTCATATGCTAACGGTAAATTTCTTGTCAATTAATTTCTTTAAAGTACTAAATGAAAAGAAAACACATATCTATTAAAGCTTAAATCATAATATAATTACCTATAAAGTCAGAAAATTAACAATTTTTAAAATATTTTCATTTCTTTATCTTGATTCTGGCGTAAGCGGTACGCGTGAGACCATTTCCAATTAAACCATACCTGTGGCTCGTTGATAATCGAATGGCAGGCGAAGTAGCAAACGTTAGTCGTTCTATACATTTTTTGTTCCCAAAATTTTATAACATTATTTTTATTCGAAATATTTTTTTGGATTGTACCAACTTTCATTTGAACATGACGTATGTCTTTTAGGGCGCTCCAAATAATGCAGTAGAGGGAGGCGCTCAAGAGGGTGCCCAGTTCCGTATGAACAAATGGGCTATGCTCAAATCCTTCATTTTCCGTCTCGTTTTCACCTACTTTATATTCAGTCTCTTCAGAAAGAGTCCAGCTCCTGCAGGCACTCCGGGTCAAGCGGGTGCTCCCATTCCAGCTTCAAACATGATAATGAGGGATGAAGTTTTAGATATGTACGCATACCTCACTGAGACACCACAAGTTCGAGATTTCAATGACCGAAGTATCCTGTTTTGGCATCTGAAAGGGCTCAAGTATGGTAATTGGGAAGATGGCCCGGCACATGATGGCAGCTTTACTAAAACTGCTGTTCTAAAGGCTAGTGATGTAAGTATCTCTGCAGCCTATTTTAGAACTATAGCTTCCATCGGATTATTTTGCTTAATTCAAACAGCCTAAATCTCGTTAAAGAGACATCTTGAGTTTGAGAACTGAGGTTTTATTCATAGGGGTGTCTATAATCAGATATCGCTTTTATGACCACTTCCCAAGTACACAAATCTTGATCTCCGCAGAGTAAATGCTGCTTGGAGTCGTTCTTTGGACCGAAATTTGCCAGTGTTGTTGGTTACTGGGCCCACGTCATTGCGTGCACCAAGTTAGGAGGTGCTCAAATTTTTAAAATCTGTTGTGTCTCAATGAATTTAGTGAAATTCCATCGACACCCATAAATGATTTATAATTTTGCTGAGTCTTGCAATAATATTCTGCTTCCGATACTAGTTTTTACTTTCTTCAAATTCGCATATTAAAGCTTCCCTCTTTTTATTGCCATGCGCAACTTGCCACAATCCGATAAATATTTTCGACTTAGTAAATATATCGTCGGCCACATTTCTATAATTGAAGTTTTACCTTGAATGAGAAAAGTATTGGGTGAAACTAGTCACCTGGAGCTCCGTTTACGCACTCGAAGATGCCATTTAAAATAGTCCCATTAATAAAAATAGCCCATCGAATTTAGATAAATTTTGATCACAACATGGCCTCATTGTGTAATCTTCCAAACCAATGTAGTGGTAATATCAGAATCATATAATTTTGAGAACATGGTCACTGGAAATGATAGAAATGGCGAAATGGGTCAAAAGATAAAAATGAAATCATTGTTGAAATGTTCGTAATTAAACTTGAATTAGGATATTAGTAAATTGTGCTTCTTATGGATGACGCTTAAGATCTGTCTTTTGGCATCCATAACTGATTTACATTTGTCCACTTAATCCAGAATCGATCGATTAAAATTATTTTCGAAAATATGAGAAAGACATGATTGCTACAATTGTATTTCCTGAGGGAAATACAAAATAAATTTGATGCCTATTGGTAAAGATTTTTAATACTTTTTTATTTAAGTCATTTTGGCTTATACTATTTTACGGGTTAGTCTCGGTTGCTGATCTCATTTTGAGTCTTAAATGGTTTATTGTATTTCTTTTTTATAGAACCTCATGCACAATGGTTCAATGTACATCCATATCTACTTCGTTCTACCCGGATTCTCTCCTGACCCCAACTCTGAAAACAATTACTCAAAGCAGTATACCTTTTCGGCTACTAAACGTGAGTAGTAACCTTATTGTTGAAATATCTCCTAACACTTGACTGGTATTAACCTTGAGCCTTCTCACATGATAGAGATAACAAGAATGCGCAAACGTCGACTTTCCCGCAAGGTCAACTTGTTGACAGGTCAAACAGAAACCCCGGCGAATCTTGTGGCATCGAAGGATACCCCACAGGATGTGAAATTCCTTCCTCCAGTCTCCCATTGGCATCCAAATCTCACAATTAACTTGGTTGATGATCACACGGCTTGGGTTCGTGGTGCTGTTCCCTCTCCCCTCAATGAACGCAAGTCATTGTTATTATCTATCTGGTAGTGGTTTGGAGGCATTTTCGCTTAAGAGAAATTGATAGCGGTTTAATAACCCTTTGAGAAATTTTTGGTTGAACTAGGTTGGTAACGTCTAAAAAAGTTTTAATATCGCTAAATGCCTGAATTCGAAACAAATTGGGCGAAATTTTAAGTGGGGCTGGTCGCAATCATGACTGAAAGTCATATTAAGTTACTTTTCTTGTGCTGTGAATTTCAGTCTCTTGTGAATAGAATACTTGAATCAATGTCCTCAATATCGTATGTACATACTTGCAGAACGACTGAGACACCTGTTTTGCGAATTTGTCATTTTGTGAGAACTGAAATGACCTTTGCATAATCTGTGAAATTAAATCAGTGGTCATTCTTGTTCTAGTAACCATCCAGACCCGAGGTTATGTGAGTGAAGATAAACTTTGATAACTGATGCAAGAAGTGGAGGGGGGAGGGGGATAAGGGTTTTGACCACTTCGCTCTTTATTTCCAAGGAGGAATGCTGTGAATAAATGCAAAAGTTAGAACGAATGTCTGGAAATGTACGGAGTAATGCCCACGGGGACGGACGGTAATGACTGTACCCCATTTATTGGCCTTGAGCGCAATCTGCATCTGTTAGGTTCTCATTAGTTTTATGAGTTAGGTACACACTTCTTTGCATCTTATGTTTGAGCAACCATCTCCAATATCCACAAATGTTCAATCTATGAATTTCTGTGATCTTATGGAATCTAGAGTAGTTGAGCTTAAGGTGGAGCTCCATTTCCGCAGAGGGCTTATGGATGACCAAACAGAAGATGCCGATCGAAATCCAAGAGTAAGCTTCACATGACCGTCACTTTTAATTGGATTGAAGAGTTGATCAACATCATTTGCGTTCACTTGGAGAAAAACTAATATGTATTCAGTTTCTTACTTGGACGTTTCTTTCCCCTACTCTATAGACATCAAATGGTATGAACCAACCAATCAGTACTACCCAGTTGTGTTCATAAACGACTTTTGGAATCTTAACGAGGAGTATATGCCAATAAATGAGACTACTCCAGAGCTAACTTTCCATTTAACTGTGGCGCCTCTCTCCCTATTCAAATGGCAACTCTATCTCTCACAGAGTATGCGCAATTCCTGGATGCAGGGTCTTGTTGGACAGAGTGAAGGTGACCAACTGGATGATGATCAAGATCAGGATATGATGAAGGTAGTTAATAGGGATTATTTTAGTTGTTTGGTGGTATTTCTTGCATCTAATATATATATATATTCTTTTCGTTGTAGAAAACCTTCCTTGAGACAAATCCCTACCTTCTGGCGCTCACTATCGTGGTTTCAATAATCCATTCTGTCTTTGAGATGTTGGCATTTAAAAATGGTAACTATAGTAATAGTGATCTTTCTTTATTATCGTTTTAATGTCGCCACTAAGGACTTACAAATGCAATGTTTATTTTTATTCAAGTTCTATCAGTCATGCCATATCTGGCGTTGGCCATTATTTTATTGGCTTATAAGGAATTCAAACCACTTTTCTATGAAATGCCTTTTTTAATAACGTTAGTATTGACCATTCCTGTTTCTAACAGGGGTGTATAAAGGCCATAACCATAGCCTATCGACTATCAGTTTACAATGCTCAAACTGAAAGTTGATGGTGTTTTTGACGTTGTTTTAATGGGCAGCTAACAAGATTATCAGAATTTTTGGGTCTTGTCACTAGGATAGAGGCCCTTCGGATTAGGGAATGACAACTACATCGGGTTTTTTTTATAAATTAGAGCAAAGATGTGATTTGAAGTTTTTAATTGCAGTCGATAGTGAGTTGTGTTGAGTAGGTAACTCATTTATTGTTTATCGGTATCCCTTATATTATTCTGCCAGGTTTGGTTAAAATGGTCTTTTCTCAGCTCAGACTCGGGGATGGAGGTTGGATTTTTGTTTGAACCTTATAAATTTTTAAATCCTTCGAAGGATTGAACTGGGGTTTATCTTGTTTATTCTCTAAAAAATTCCCATTCCACTGTCATTATTAGAAGCCATAAATGGCTGCTATTTAAACTACCCATGTTAGGCAAACCTATCGCTAAGCAGTGCTCTCCCAATCCCCTGCAAAATCGAACTAATATCGCCTTCTTTCTCTCCTGTGCAAACCGTTAAGAATTTAAGTACCCCTCTTAATCGGTCTCGGATTATGCAAAGTAGCCTCCACTACTGCCTCTACGAGGCACTATGAATCAGCATCTTATCAAACACTTAATTTTGCTGTCTCTTCTTTTGAGTTTGTGGGGTGGGCGATAGACTTACCTTCTGACTTCAAACTACCATCACCTCACCGTGTCATATTCGACTGCTGCCATAGTACTCACCTCACCTTTTTTCTACCTTTGTGTCTGCCTGTTTTTTTCACATCTTAGAAACACTCTTCTGTTCCCCCTCCCTATCGACTTTATGTCACTTTGATGTTCCTCCTCCTCTCTGTGAAGCCTGAATTCAACTAAGGGCTATTGATAACTGTCAAAACGCCTGGCATTTGATATAAATAATTTTGCAGTTTTTTTACACTTCTCCTTCCCCTCTTTCTAGATATTCAGTTTTGGCGTTCGCGAGATAACTTCGAGGGTCTCTCACTGCGTTCGGTCCTTTTCAATATATTCCAATCGGTGATTG